TTTACCGCCTGTGGATGGAGTGCAGATGGAGAGCTGATGTTTCTGAAGTCAGATTACCCACTTTAGCCATTTAGTGTTATAAAGAAAAATTGAGCACTGAGATATCTAGAAAGACAAAAGCTCCCACAAGTCTTGCAGAAATTTTAAGGGGAAATTAAGCAGATGTTATATAAATATTTCTGTCTGACTAAACTGTATGTTTATAACAACAAAAACAGAAAGACCTCTTTTAACTACATGCTACTCAGTTTTCACAAAGTGTAAGAATAGCATTAGGCCTTTGCCGGAATAGGATTCCCAATAGACTGATGTCTTTGTGCAAAAATACCCCAGTATTAACATAATAACCTAATTTCTTTTATGTAAAAAGAACAATATTAGTTTTTTTTCCGCCTTTGTAATAATAGCATATAAAAATAATTACACTTATATTCTATTCATAGGCTTATGTTAAAAGTTAACCCCGCAATCAAAGGGATTTATTTTGCTGAGTGTTATGCTGAAAATAAATTTTCTTAACTTGAGTTTGCCAACTTGTTAAATCCAGCATATTCAATGTAAGACAAAGGTTAAACTTTAAATGATAAAACAGACTAGCTGTGCTCTACTTAGTTTAAGATTCATGTTATCTGCTTAACCTCTGGCTTTATCTTTTGCAGCCTGAATGAACCGCAGTCAGGCCTTGGCGTGTCATGGAAAATACTATTGTTTATTTTAAAAAGCCCATTGCATCCCTGTTCTTTCTCTGATATATTCAATACAAAGATGGTTAACTTTGAGGCGTCTTTCCACAGTAACAGAATGTAGAATGCTGTTCACATGCTGGTAGTGCTTACATATAGTGCACTCAGACATCTAAAAACATTTATTGAGAGTCAGACCAGTCCTTTAATGGTTTCACTTAAGAAATTCCATTAACCCTGCTTATTAATCAGGTTTGTGTTTGAAAGGGAAGCAGACATATTGCTGCTGTTTCTCTAAAACCCGCCTATGGCTACAACCAATAAACAAAGAATACAAGATGTCATATTTAGTCAGTGCTAAAAAGAAAATTATCATAATTACTTTTAGAAGAAAAAAGCTGTCTTCTTTTATGCTGTTGTCTAAATTAGAAATACAGTAGCAGACAGATTTCAGCAGCATAGCACAGAGAGAAAATTATCCTGCATATTAATTTGTAACAAAATGATTTTATGCTTCTGAATCTTGTTATTGTAATGTGCAGCTTCCCAAGCACACAGTTTTTATAACTTTAATATAAGAAAAGGAATGAATCTGCAGTAAAATCATGTAGAACACATAAGCTGACAAACTGCACAATTTCAAAAAGCAGCGTGAATGACTCTTAAACATTGTATACAACATTAACATTTTCTTCCTTTGAATGATAGTTGTACTTATACATTTTATATATTTTTTGGGTTTGTTTTTTAGGGTCAGAGTTGCAGAATAAGTTGGGTTTTGATTTCATGTAAACAAATACTCATTATATTGCCAAGAGCAGCTTAAAAAACATTTATCTTCCGGAACCTTGAATTCAAACAATCGTCAAGGCACTGGATATGTGTTTCTGTGTACATGTGAGTTTGTGTTTTCATCTGCAGCGTCAAAAACTTGTAAGAAACTTTTGAGTGATAGCTTTATGCTCTGTCATCGGCTTTGAAGGAGAAAGTTTTCTGGTTTTTTGAGAAGTGCTCATATGAAATGTTGTTCAACCTTTCCTCTCTATAAGAGGTAATGACTCGCAACCACACATTCCAGTCATTGCCTGCAGTAAAACTTAGACGCTTGGTAGTGGTTGGGAATACCAGATTTAACAATTCTAAGACTGTTTTTCAGAGTTTATAGCTTGATTTGTTATGGCCCCGCAGAGGGAATAATCCTTCCCCCCATAAAACTTTCTAACTAGATTTGTCGTGACTGTAGGTGTTTCCGAATGTCCGTCTTAACCCCTCTATAGAGCACTATAAAGGGGCTACTACATTTTGAATGAGTGATTGATTGTATAGTGGATGAAAAAGTAGTGGACTATAAATATCCAACAATGCATCTTGAAAAGTAGTGTAAATCCATGGTACGAACGTCTGTCCTAACCCCTAAATCCCTCAAACACTATATAGAGTGGGGACTATATAATGAACTCAGTTAACTTACCGTTCGGACAGATGATCACTGTCTTTTACTCCCTGTTGGTCTTGTAACTCCTACTCCACTGCGCGGTACCTGCGCCATCTTTCTTATAGAGGTGAGTATTGGCATGAGTTTTGCGATTCGATACATGTCGCGATACTTGGGTCACGGCACGATATTATCACGATATTGCAGTATCACTATATATTGCCATATTTTCCCCAGCTATCAAAATCCAATGATGAGATAAAACAGCAAGTGCTGTATATTTTCATCAGAAAATATTGATTAGGTATTATTATCCATGTTGTTTGGGGTTTTCTTCCACTGTGACTGCCTCAAATACAGATTTGGTGCTGCACGCACAGTTAAAGGCCTCCACAGCGCTTTCTGCCAGAGTGGTGGTGCAAAGGTAGCCCATTTTCCCATCAATGTTTTATGTAACCATTTTTTATTTTTTTTAATTAATACTAAGAAGTGAAAGTGCGATATTATATTGGGCAGCCGAATATCACGATATATCGCCAAAACGATTATTTCCCACACCCCTACTTTCTTATTTGTCATCGTGTCGAGTAGCGACAGCCAACCGCTGTGACAACAAATCCCATGATGCTTGCGAGGAGAGCTCGCCAGGATCATCTATTGACCATGGACGATCACTACTTTTTGAAGGTGCGTTGTGGGAAATATGGAATCCAGTACTTTTTCGTCCACTAGACATTCGGGCACTCATCTAAAATTCTGTATACAGAAGTGTATACAAAACAAAATTTCGTTTTCTACAGCTTTCGGAACAATTCCATTCCTTAAAGTGCAATAGTATTCTAGAATGCTTTGGAAGAGCTCTCCTTGCATGGCATCATGGGATTTGTTTTGGGGGTGAGAAAGAACAAAGATGGCGCAGGCATCGTGCGAGGAGGTGGACTCACGTGACCAACAAGGAGTGGAAAGTAGTGGTCATCTGCTCATACGGTTAGTTAACTGAGTTCATTGTAAAGTCCACTATATAGTCCCCAGTCTATATACTGATTGAGGGATTTAGGGGTTAGGGCAGATACAGCCACACACTGGAATTTAACATGCTTGGCAAAACTTGAAGATGCAATTCTTTCACGAATCTGATGATTTTGTGTGGAATGTAAAAATATAAAACTTCACATCGATCTTATTTGCATGTTCTTGTCTGCTTCGTTTATACCTTGTTAAAACACCACTTGGTGGTTAATTAGATTGCCAATGTTTCTGATGAATTGAGATAAAAGATAAAAAAAATACATTTCCTGAAGTGTGATGTTGATTGTTACAGGGAAGCATCTTCCCTCTGTTGTTTTGATAATTAAATATGCCAGCTTGTGATGCCTTAATTAACACCTCAAATTTTTTTGTGTGAATCCTGCTTTTTTTTAGGTTTAGAAGTTAAGAATAACCTGAAAAGGAGTGTCTTGTGTTTTCTGTAGATTTATATGTTTAGATGGCAGAACTATTTAAGGTCTGGGGGAAAAGCTATGGGGTGGACCCAGCTGGCAAAAGGGGAACACAAATACAAGTGTTGCCTGTCTCTTCGGTGCATTCATAACTTAATTTTGAACAAGGTGCAAGCACAAAACAGCTTCCTATTCTTTGAAGTTTCCCCCAGTGTACACAACAACAGCCCTGAACAGAATGGGGGCCTTAAAAAATAGGCTTCTTACTCAATTTGAAAAGAAGATAAGCCATAGAAAAGCATGCATTTGCAAATAGTTTGCATCTAATTTAGTGAACTGTGAATAACCTTTTTTTTTTTGAAAACTGCAAGCTTGAAAAGGTTAGAATAATTTTGCAACAACTGAACTTTAACTAACTCTGACCTTATTTGAATGATCGATGTAGGGCTGCAACTAACGATCATTTTGCTAATTGACTGATCTGTCGATAATTTTGTTTTGATTTATCATTTAAAAATCGGGTAGAAAAAGGGTCCTTCAAGAAAATGTTTTACACAACTTAGACAAGGTGAAACTAAAACTTTTCCACCTGAGTGTTTTGGATGAGTTGAGTTCTGGATAGGACATATTGATGGAAAAAAAGTTTTCTTTAAAGTTTTCTTTATCTTAAATGCTAAATGTGTATGTATATATATATATATATATATGTGTATGTGTATATATATATATATATATATATATATAAATATATGTATGTATGTATATATATATATATATATATATATATATATATATATATATATATATATATATATATATATATATATATAAATATATGTATGTATATATATATATATATATATATATATATATATATATATATATATATATACATATATATATATATATATATATATATATATATATATATATATGTATGTAATCTGAATTTATCTGGAATAAAATATTTATAACTTTTAACCCATCCGATGGCAGAATAACCTAAGCATTGGATTAAGCACTATATTATTTATATATATATATATATATATATATATATATATATATATATATATATATATATATATATATATATATATATATATATATGGTTTATGCATAGTTGATTAGACGTTTTCTAACTCTGTTCAAAATTAGACAACTAATACTTAACTTGGGGGGGGAAATGCAGGACACAAGGCTTTTCATAGTTTTATTTAATTTGGAATTAATTGTTTACTTAGTTATTGTAATTACCAGAGTTTATACACTTACTGTAAAAAGTGACTTACGACTTCAAATATTGTTAAGGCACACTCCACTCAAATGCCACCTAAGGTGAAAAGCATATTTCAAAAATAATTGGTCTGAGAGTTACAGTAATTTCTCTTTGAGTCACACCAGTTGATACACTGTATGCTTATCTTTTTTTTATTTCTTTAGCTCTCTTGAGGGCATGTGCTGATGGAGCTGCCAATCAACTTTACAACATCACCGCTGGAGATCGTGACAAGTAAGTTGGCCTTAGTCTCACATTTGAATAAGTTAATTAGTATTTTGACTTACATGCTGATGTTTGAGCTGTAATTGTGTGTTTTTGAAAAAAAAAAAAAAACAATAAACAAAGGAGCTGTTCACTCTATGTCTGAAAACCTCAACAACAGCAGCTTCCAAACCACACTGTGCATCTAAAACCTTTATCTGGCTGCATGTCTATGATTGTTTAATGGATTTCTCTGCTCCAGGTGAATAAATGTGCTCTGTTTGTGCACAAGTGCAGTGTGTTTCTGATAAAGGAGTGCAGGTTGGCAATTTGCTGCAGCTTTTTTCTTTTTGTTTAGTTTTTAGGGGGGGGGTTGTGGCTAATGGAGGGCTGCTGTCAGGACAGAGATGGATCGGGGGATCACTGGGTCCCTGAAGTGTCGAGACTTTCACATTAACACCCAGAGTGTGAGCATGGAGTGTGTGTGCTTTTCATTAGGGTGTGAATGGGATGTTCGATGTGTCTGTGTTTGTCTCTATGTGTGCATGTCCTTGCAATTCTACCGCTGTATCAACCACTTCAAGCTGCTCATATGGAGGTGAGGATATTTGCAAAGTGTCATTATTTAGTCCCATTATCTTTTTTCACTAAAGACAAGTTGTAATTCTTGGAAGAAAAATCTTATTCTAAAGCTTTCATACTTATTTCCATTGGAAAGTATTTTATTGGTTTTGTCAGAAAGATTATTGACTTTTTAAATTCATAGATATATGACCAATATTTAGAAATGATAAAGATTACTGAGCTTTCAAAAAAGCGAAACATTTATAATGTTAAAATGGGGAATAAAATTATTAGGGCTTTTATTTATAATATACATTTTCTTACGAATTCAAAACAAAAACAGTGCCATCAGACCTTTGCTTTCCACAAAAAATGTCTAATGCTAACCACAGAAATTGTGAACGTTTTTGTTTTTGTCACAATCACAGCCAATTCTTTTATAGAAAATTATATTTCTGCACTTATGAGTAGTGAGTTATGAATAATTTGAATTTTAATCATTTGAAACATGAATAATTTGAGTCATGTTTAGATGATTGAAATGGTTTTATTGTTAATTAAACTAACCAAAGCCTAATTAGCAAGTTCAGTTTTTAGTCACTTAAATTTCTGTGACTTAACGAGATAGTTGGATTGTGTTCAAAGTGGAAAAACAATGTTTTCATTGATAAATATCTTTTCTTTTTATAAAGCCTTCTCTGTACATGTCTCTTTGAAATAGCCAGTGCCGGTGTAGTTTAAGCCAAGATTGCGGACATCATCCCTGCATACAGTAGCTGCATGTGTTTCAGTGACAGCAGATTCATCCAGTGACCCTCTGACCTGGCTTGAGCTCTGTCAGCAGCTCGAATAGTTGAGATGACGGCAAAGTTTCCCATTTAGATTCATTCCAAAACTAACCACATCTGCTTCAAAATGTCAAAAAGCTGGGAAAAAGAAAAACAAATAGCTACTAAGGCATGATTGTGGGGTCGGGATGTGTTGATTCATTATTGTTAGCCATACAATTAAGCTTACTTTATGGTACGAATGGACTAACAAGTATATGTAGGCAAGAAATCAATTTAAAAAAATCAATAAAAGCAAAGTTCAAGAAGTTACCACATCTCATATATGGTTGAATTACACACAGCACAGAGGACCTTATATTATAGAACAGGTCCATTAAAGGAAATATGAGCAGTCCATCCATATATATATATATATATATATATATATATATATATATATATATATATATATATATATATATATATATATATATATATATATATATATATATATATATATATATATATATATATATACCGGTATATACTTATTGGGGTATAAGTATTTAAAAAAAGTTATTTCCAATTCATAAACATTTGTAATTAAAACAATTTACATATATAGAAATACTCCCCTACAATTCTTAAAACAGAAATAGCCTTTTTTAACTATCATATATTAGGATTTTAGAATGAAAGTTTTGTACAGTAGATATTTTTTTGTTTTTGTATTTTTTTTCCCTTTATCATCTCATTGTTAAGGGTTTTAGTCTCACATCTGATAATGATTTTTCATGTTCTTCAATTTGCTCCTTTATCATTTATTTATTTATGATTTATTCTCTATTGTTTTCATGATTCCTTTTTAGTGATGTCACGCCTGTAAAATTTTGGGATTTTGTCTCCTCAGTTTCATTCATGTTTAAGTTCCCACACTCTGTTACTGACATAATTTCATCAGCTTTAATGAGTCCACCTGTGTCATGCCAATTACCTCCCCTGGTCGCACCGCGTGTTGCACTATTCATGCCAGTCAGTTTCTTTTTTTCGTTTCCCCGCACTCTTAGACTGCTTTGTTCATGTTCCATGCTCATATCTGTGCCGGCTTTTCACTATATCTTCATGTTTCGTTCACCTCAAGCCTGCCAAGGAGGAGGAGAAAGCCATGTTAACTAGTGAAGGTCAGTGCTCGCTTGCAGAGAACTCTGCTCTAAACACTCTAAATAAAGCTTCAGTCAAGAGTATGAATCAGAAACTTTCATGCTGTGAAGAGTCGGTGAAAACGGCACACTCCGGTGCACTTTGCACCTCTGAATCAAGAGACCAATTTAAGGTTATCAAAGGTACAGAGTGGCGCTAGTTGTTGGACATAATTTTCTGCTTTGAACTAAATAAAAAAAAAAGTACAGTAATTACCTGAAGGACCATTTTGTATTTTTTTTTCACAGTATTTTTTCTATGAAATGTACTTTTAGATCGACACTTAGTTCAATACATCTCTCTATATATGGTAGGAAGGATGCTACCAAAAAGGAAGAAACGAGGAAGTGATTGTGTCCACAAAATTTTAACATTCAAATAACATCTTTTCAGAGCCAAAGCAGCTTTTAATAGTTTAATAATATTTTTAAAAAATATTTTTAATTTTATTACATTAGTTAAACAATTCAGCAAAGCTTTATTAATTTAATTCAGTTTAATTCAGCAAAGTTTATTTAAGTTTATTACACCTTTGCTTTTCTACAGAGCCACCGCAAAACAAAGGGTTACATTTATTTAACAGCTGAAAATCATTTCATGGTAGACCCTTCCAAAGAACAAAAGAAAAAATGTATGCTTCTCAACTTTACTTTCGTTTTTATGTTGTTGTGTTAAAAGGTAAAGGTTGTGGAGATCACCTGCTAGTTTTGTTTTATCTTGGATACTTCATCTTGACCCAAATATAAGGAATTTTGGAAAACATATATTGCCTGTTGTTTCTAGATGTCTTCAGCTCAGCTCAGTTCTGTTTAGTTTAGCTGTAAACGTCTTTGTTATTTTACCCCCTTTGGCTGCAATTTGCTGTTTGATATAAAATTTCCCTTTATCAAAAACACTATACCTTTAAATCCCTCACTAAGTGTAACTATGAAATATGCTGAACTATATTAGTGCATAGGATTGGGTTGTTTTCCCAAAAATTTAAATACCTTCTTTTTATTATTTCAGAGCTCCATTGTTCTCATGATTTTTAATGCTCTTTTGTCCAGACACCATTCTCAATGGACTTCACTGTTACATGGAAAAGTGCTTACGTCTAGCTCATTGCACAGATTTGCACACTTGCTGAAATTCTCTCAATACTACCGTTTGGCAGCAAACCCAGTTTAAGCATATTATTGTCAACTAAAGGGTTGGAAAGAGAAAAGATATGCTTTTCTCTCATTTTATGTAAAGTGACCAAATATATATATATATATATATATATATTTTTTTTTTTTTTTTTTTTTTTTACTTTAGTTTTAATGTGAATGAAAACAGCTTTCCAGTGAGTACTGTAAATTATTTCCACATTAAATTAGGTCCAAATTCTGTTTATAAATGTATCCTTAATGAAAATACATTTAGTATTTGGTATTTTTACTGACAAAAAAAATCCAATTTGAGCTCTCTTTGTAAAAATGTTAATGATCTAAAGCCTTTTTCCAAATGAGTGAATGCCTTAATTTGCCAATTGTGAATTAGTGTGTATCTGACCTCATGTCTGAATGGATATTCAAAAAGGAACAAGAAATTGGAATAATAGAAATTCTTGCTCAACCTCCACAGACCTCTCTGCTGTCTAAAGAACAGAGTGGGTGGGTGAGATCCCGCTGTTAAAAGAAAGGTGCCTCGTAATTTTCTGTCAAAACAACCTTAATGGTAGACATTAGGGATGTAGAGTGGGGGGGTGTGCTTTAGGCTAAGGCTTTTTGCTTTCACGGTGAGTCAAGTGACAGTGATTCCACTTCACATTATGGTGTAGTTAAAGCAACATGGCATATTTTTGGACCAGATAAAGGCTGCATCCTTTTTTTTAAAGCCGTTTGGCTCTGCATATGTGTTAAAGAATAAAACCTTGCATTATCCATTTGTGATTATGGATTAGTGTTCTTCTTAGTGACACTTATGTATTTATCCCCTTTGAATTGTTTTTATTAAAACTTGAGGGATTTAGATAAATTGTAACCTTAAAGATTCTTCAATCCCCTAACTTCTATCACCAGTCAAGGTGCCTTAACATTAGAGAGGTGAAGTTCACCAAGTAGTGCAAATTCTGAGGCGTGTTTTACAGCATACTGATCTGGTATTGCATTCCCCTTTCAAAATGGAAACACTATTTTTATTTTAGTAGAACTGATATAAATGCGGTGATAAAACTGAAACAAGAAATGATTGCTAAATGATAAATATTCTAGTCCTTTTTCCATATAAATGACTGGAATTATTTTTACTTTTACACCAAAATACTAGTAATAACTATGTGAAGCAAACTGCATTTACTAAACTTGAGCAAAATTTGCTTTCATTAAAGCTCATAACCTTTTTATGAGTGCTGATATCCTCAAGCCCTCCTGTAAATGTCAATGGGTATCGTCTCAGTTTCCAATGAAAAAATTATTTCTCCTAATTTGTGCATTTTATCCAATCTTCTTAGGATTTAACTCATAAAATGGA